TGCTTCGTTGTAAAGCGTTACTGGCCACATGCTCGAAAGCAGTCAGTACAGATTGAGGTGCCAAACTTGATTCAATATATTTTAGGATGTCCAACTGACAATCGCATACACTTGATAAATCAATTGAGGAATAGTTAAAATTATCCATTAACCTACAAGTTAGACGATTGTGACGTCTTCTTCATCTCGCTTCTCCCTCATAACTGCTTCTCCTTTCCGGTCATCGGGACACCCCCACTCCCACGTGTCAGACGGTGCTTCAACACCCGAGCCTGTGCCAGCGTCTGAGCTTCGGCAGAAGACAGCTGGAGTCCAGAGCAGACTCCTATCGATTTCCACCAGGTTAATCTTCGTCATTCCCTGGGCCTTCTGCTGGTCGTTAGGCAATAAATAGTTGCTTCATCTTTTTTGTAGCCATTCACACCACGTGCCTAAACCATCGCAGCTGTGACTTATCAATCTGAAGAAGGCTCTTGCGGATGTCTCTGTTTCTGACCAAATCGACGTGCATAAGGTGAACGACTCGTTTCAGAAAGCCCATTTCAGCTGCATACCCGTGGTCAAAGTTTTCAGTCATGATTCACGACTCATGACTGCAGGTAAGCATGGTGATGAAGATTGACTTTAACATCGACAGCATAGTTTTCAGATTCAATTCTGCCTTAGTCACAGTGGTTGGAGGAAGTTCAAGCAGAATGCCACCAGGTACTTCAATCCACCGGTCGATCCCTTCCTAAAATTTTCCGTCACTAGTAAACACGACTCAGGTGAACTTGAACTTTTCACCTTATCCACTGCTTCTCCGTTTATCTGAAGAGTGCAATTGGCAGGAAAATGAAAGAACTAAAGTTTCATTCATGTTCACATATTGGCCGCTCTCGTTCTAGGTTGTGAACCTTTCCTGACCAGCGAGTGTTGGAGATCAGTTTTTAAACATGCCAACAAAAGAGTCGTCTGCAAGCAGCAGCTTTCTCGTCTCTACAGCCTCTACGTCGATACATTCATCGTCTTGGCTGCGTTTCACTATTCTATCCATGTACAACACAAGCAGGATAGGGGACAGGACGCAGCCTTCGCGGAGATCAATGCGAACGTTGAATGGTTTCGACTTAACGCCATTAACTCTGACACAGCACCTGCTATCAGAATACAGTGGTTGGATGGCCCTTAGCAGCTGGCCATCAATCCCGTATGCACGAAGGTATCTTCACAGACTGTTGCGTGGAAACGGGTCATACGCTTTCTCTAGGTCCACAAAACACATGTACACCGACTGAGCGTACTCCCACTATTTCTCTGCAGTCTGGTGCAGGGCAAATATATGGTCAGAGGTGCTTCGACCGGGCCGGAAGCCACACTGCTCTTCTTGGATCTTGAGGTCAACTATCTCACGGCACCTCCTTTCTGACACCTTTGCGTAGACTTTACCTGGAAGGCTGAATGAGGTAATGCCCCGATAATTGGAACACTCTCT